ATATGTGGTGGCACATTTCCCAGTTCTGTCTGATTGGTTGTGTTGAAATAATAACGAAACTCTGCACCAAGATGACAGCGAAAGAAGCCGTTTACGGTCAACCAAACAGATGGATGCGGTGAACCTGTGTTTGAGATGATAAGACAAACAATCTTCGACCAGGGACCGTTGTCTAGCCATCGTTTCATTCCACTTCTGAATGATTCATTTTCACGGCAGATAAACGGACTTGGCTCCCGCGGGATTCGATATTGATGCGATGATTTCTCGCATCGGACTTTTGGTTAGATCCGTTGTGCGATTGCTAGTGCCACTAAGCGAGATCGGTCGACGGATGCAATCCCTTTCTTTTGTGTCAATCGTTGAGCAATATGATATAACGATCCATTACGATAAAAAGTTAAATTGAAGGACTTGTGCTAGATGTGAGCATTACTCACCCTTAAAATATGTTCCTTTTCACAGTTTATCTATGGCGTCTTCTACTGTGCCGTATTCACATTCATCTACGCCAATTATGGAGGCCTGGCTCATCAAGGCATTGCGTCTGGCGCATTCGAAAAAACCTGCAGACCAAGAGAGATTGCGCAGGTTTTATCGCGAGGTCTGTGACAATGAGTCCGTGGCGTCACGAATCACGTTGGCGGATGCTCTGCGTGAACCACGTGATCCTACTGTGAATGTGGACTCGGTAGAGGTAAGATTAGTAGTGGACCCCCTAGAATTAGTGTTTGATTGCAGGTGTCATTCCCGCCCCCTCCCGTTTATTCCCGAGCAAAACGTTCTGTGCCTTTGTTCGTCGGGAACAATAACATTAAACGTTTACAGTTTACAGAACAACAAAGTCGGAAAACAAACTTGTCACCAACAAAGGACCTTATTTTACAATTTGATTACTAACTTCCTATCAACAAATCATACTAATGAGACCCTTTTCTTCCGTGTGGTAAAATCAAGTGTTGTCACAAATACTTTTTGCATAGCTGGGGTTTGGGATCAGGCTGGTGAATATCCAGTCACCACACAGTCACTCTGATATGACATTGAAACACCGTTCATAAGATGAACCCGTAAACACAGTCGCATCACATATTTTTGGAGCAATCAGACCGAAACTACGCGATTTGAGGTTCGGTGACTTGAAAATATATTGGTCGAGTAAAATAAGGCACGACAGAACCTGTGGTACTGGCGTAGAAGTGGCGTACGAACCATCCGCACCCCTCATCTGTCCGGTTGTGACAATAGTTACCGACTCGATTGAGCTTGGTCGAGCTGTGTTGACACCTTGGACACTTAACGCCGTCTAAAGGGCGTNTAACGCCGTCTAAAGGGCGTATGCTCTCCCATGAACGCCGGTCCCCAGTGGATTGCAGTTTTCGCTGCCTTGTGGATTAGACTTTGGCTAGTAAAAGGCTCCGGTTGTGAAGTCACCAAGAAAATTCACCTGCCTTGGCTTGGGCAACCGGGCGGTATTCCGCCCAAATGCAAATCCTGAAACGCTTTTCTTTTCATAAAGATTATTGTACCACGATTTGTTTGTCACACAGTCTGGTTTTAGACGTGTGTTTTTTGACGTGAATTCAATATGGTATCGTTTGACATCATGCAAGTGCATACAACAAACCGGGATTTGTGTACTGACGGCTCAGAAAGCCCACACCCCCCCGGTATTCTCTCTGGGGTGGATGTCTCACGTTTTGCCTGGTCACATTGGCACCTTACGAAATGTGCATAGCGGACTATATTACTGACGAAAGCAAACTGCACAAAGCAAGAATGTGTCTGATTTCCTACTGTTTCAAGCATTATTGCAGTACACAGAACAAATAAAAACAGCCATACAATTTTTATCTCTGAATAAACGAGCGCAAAGCTTACATACACAACAGGTGCAATCAACGAGGAGTAAGGATTGCAATAGGCAAAGTGGTTTTAGTCGGACACAGACAACTGTCTTTCGTGCGCGTTTTTCAAAAGAATTACGAGTGATACTCGCGGATAGTAGGTCGAGAGCCTTAGAGAGTTTTGCCAGATGGCTGTATCCGAGCCGATTTCCCATTTTTCATCGTCAAATTGTAAAATATTGCGAGACTGAACTATTCAGTTACGTTCAGTTCGTACAACCATTAACCATGCACTTTCGTGCGCCGGTTTTGGTTGCCCATTTGGATAAAACAG